TCGTGTCATTCGTTCAACAGAGGAGCACCCAAATGTGGGTAAACGCTGCCCAGAAACCAGCAGCCACCACAGCACAAGCCCCAATGGCAGACCTGCATCTCGGGGGCTGCAGGAGCCAGAGGACACCAGGAGAGATGGGCGCTCTTCTAAAGGTTTCCATCCACACCTCCTCTCCACCCAAGGCAATAAACCATCCCCAAAATCCTCGGCCATCAGGAGACTCGGGTCATGCTGCTGTCCCCACCAACATCCACCAGTTGAGTTGTCCCAAACTGAGAGAGGGACTGGCACGGGACACCCACGTTTGCCATCTCCTCACCCTCCCGAGCAGCCCAAAGGAGAAACCCTGGCCAGATCATCCTGAAATCCAAAGCTGCTGGTGAAGCCACCAACCCAACTGCCCTGGTGCATCCCTTATCTATGGCCACGGCTGGTTTTCTTCTTAATTCTGCTTTTTTCTTCTGCCTGCAAGAACATCACCACTCCCAAAACACCCTTCCGCTTCCACAGGAAAAGGCTTTTGAAAGGCAAAGGCGTCCTCCTCCATCCTCTTCTTTGGGGAGAAGGTGGCAGGAGGTGTCCACGCCATGGGGGATACCCATCGCAGCGCTGCCAGCAGCAGGGACGCCGGCCTTAACCACAGCCCCCAGCCCTAACCGGGCGCACTGGGACCCAGGCTGCTGAGCTGAGCGGAGCCGACTGGGAAAAGCAGATTTTGGGGGGTTGTCCTCTCCTCTGGGCCATGGTTTTGGTGCATCTCCCCTTCCTCCAGCCCTGCCATGGAGCATCCCCTCAGGTGGGATAAAGCTGCAGCCCCATCCTGGTACCGCCTTCCTCATCCATGTCACGAGAGCTGCAGACCTCAGCGGGGGACCATAGGAAATAAAATCTCTTCCACATCTCTGAAGCTGGTGGTGGCGATGGGCTGGAGGTCTCCAACCCCACAAGGAACCTCAGGAGACCATTTCATCCACCCCTCATCTCATCTACGCTGTCTCCTCTGAAGCAGGGTAAGGTTTTTTGGCCATAAACCCCCACGTTGAAGCGCCTCCATCCCCCTGATGACTGCAGCTTTCCAGGAGAAGGCTGTTCCCAAAATGCACAAAATGTGGGACCCCCCCAAAAGAAAAACTGCCTGCGAGAGAAACTATCGCATCCCACTGTGCCCCCATGGGCAGCATAGGTGGAGCTCCTCGCCGTGGGGTCACCTCTGCCCTGGGGAAGCTGGGACACACAAAACCCAGGGGCAAGAGGAGGAAGGGATGCCCCGACCAGCAAAAAAAACCAACACCCAGCAAAGCTACAACCGCCCCCGGGGATCACCCGGCCACCAGCGTGGTCCATGGGGAGGCATCACCATGCGAAACGGCGCAGAGACTTGTGAAATTCCCTTCAAAAACCCCCACAAAGTAAGTATTTATTTCTATAAAGAAGGAAAAAAAAAAAAAGAAGATTTTAAAGGAAAATTATATACTCAGCATGTTTATACACTCTATGCTTAAAGACTATCGTGTTGGAAAGTCCATGGCCCCAGACTGAAAGGTGGCTGCTCCGGGTTTGATCCGGGCCATGGGGAACGTGAGGATGGGGCGATGGAAAGTGAGGACTCGGAGAAACCTTCGGTGCTCACTCACTGATGGTCGTGGTGGCACAGGGGGGGTGTGTGATGTTCCCGTTCCCCTGCTGCTGCGAGGTTCCAGCAGGACAACCTCACCCGAATTCGGTGCTTGAGCGTGCCCACCCCGACCAGCCCAAACCATTCCCAAAAAGTCCAACTTCTGGCTTAGCAAAGCCACATTTTTACAAACCCCGCGACGGCACAAGCCCTTGAGCAGGTTCAAGGATTTGCAGATGGAAAGTGGGGGTTTTTTTCCCCTCCATTTTGCCTGGGCTTGGACAGGTCCCTTCCTCCTCCTCGGCTGGGGACGAAGGTGGCTGGCGCGGTGACGCAGGCTTGGTGGTGGTTAATGAGAGCCCTGCATCTCCCTGGCCCTCCCGGTGGCTCCTAATTGCCCAGGTTGTTAATGGCAACATTAACAGCTCATTAAGGGCTCCCTATTTCTGCTGCTGAAATGTCATATCGATGATTTCCCAGCTGCTTTTCTTCCCCATCCTGCCAGCACATGGCCCCGTTGCCTCCCAACAAACCCCCCTCGAACACCCCTATCCCTATGGGATGCTCGGGTGATGCTGCCCGTGGCTCTAAGATTCAATCCCATTCCTCTGGCAGTGATAAAATCACACAGAAATATCAAATTCCTTGAAAATGCCTTGAAATCAGGTGCCAGGAGGAAACGGGGAGCCACCATCTGAGCTCAACCCCAAAGCAGACCCTAGAGAAGCCCCAGCGGGGCTCTGCGATGACAATCCCCAGCAAAAGCCACGGCGAGGGGCGGATCTGGCAGGGGTCGGATGGACGGCGCTGCTGGTTTCTGCCAGACCTGGCTCCCACAGCATCAATGTGGGGAGATTTATTCCTTTTTTAGTGAATTTGCCCAAATTTTCCCCACGGACAACACCCACAGCCATCCCCATCGCTCGAATTTGGGTACAAGAAGGGTCTCAAAGAGGAACACCACCAGCACAGCCGCCTCGGGGGCCGAAATGATCCCAAATCCACGTTTTTCTGCCTCATGTGTTGGCTTTTGCTCATCGTCATCCATTGCTTTGAGCCCCCAGGAGCTGGGGATGCTCCAGGGACCGGCCACGTCCTCCCTTCATCCTTGCACCCCCAACTTCAGGGGGGTCCAGGGGTGTAAGGACTCCAAAAAAGGGGGGAGCCCCCCAGGTTGGCTTCATCCAAGGGGATTTTTAAAGCTCTTTATCAAGCAAAAAAGGCAAGAAAAGATATCCCACCTCTCACTGTGTGTTGCAGCAGAGCTGGTCCCATGGTCAGGTCTTGGAGAGCTTGTTTGGATCCTCCAAAAGGCTCCAAATTTGGTTCAAACAGAGCTAAAAAAAACCCCTGAAAAGTGTTGATAAAGCAGTTAAACGATGTTTTCTCTCAGCTCTTGGACGAGCCCACCCCAGGAGCTGGTACATCCCTTCAGCCTCGCACTTTGGGTCGGAAACCCGCAGGTTGGAGCGGAGCAAAAGCATTTGGGAATCGGTGCCAAATGACAAAACGCTTTAAAAAAAATGGGGAAAACCCCCAAAGCAAGCAGGGAGCAGGGAGATTTTAGCAGCTGGAGATGGTTTGTTGCGATTGAAGCATCACAGGGTGGTGTTGGAGGGCGAGTGGTGGGAACGCACGGCCTTCCTCATCAGGAGGAGGCAAAATAACCCCCATGGAGGGTGAAACCGTCCCTTCCCCAGTGCGCAGCAGCACAGAGAGAAGGGAAAACTGCCCCAAAAGTGGGGAAAACAATGGGATTTTGTGATCCAGCCTCCAATTGAGCCCCACAGGGGGATGAGGAGGGCTGGGGCCGGGGACAAGCGGGTGCAATGGGGCTTTTGGGAAGCGAGCGCGGCGACGCACACTTGCTTAGAGATAATCAGAGGATGCGCTCCCCGCGGGGGAAAAGCGAAATACAAATCTATTTAGGGACAGGAATGCAATCGTTTCCCTAAAGCACTTGGTGGTGGCGGCCTTTGCCCCAGCGAGCGATTTCGGAGGGGCCCTGTACAGTGACCTCCCCCCCCTCCCCGTCCCGAGCGGTAGCGAATTTGCCTCCCGAGTTATTTTTTTAAAACCTCTATAAATTTAGGTCTATTTTAGTCTTTCGCAGCGATGTGCCAGTGTCTGGAGAACCAAACGTCCCTTTTCCCATC